GTCTATTTCTCCCTTCAGATGTTTTAGTGTTTGCTTAATATGTCTACACGTGTCAATGTTGGATGCATATATATTTACAATTGTTATATCCTCTTGATGATTTGACCCCTTCATCATTATATAATGACTTCTTTGTCTCTTGTTGCTATTTGACGTAAAGTCTATTTATCTGATATAAGTTTAGCTCTCCCTAGACCCTTTTGTTTCCATTTGCATGGATTATCTTATTCCATCCCTTTCCTTTCAGCCTATGTGTATCCTAAAAGCTGAGGTGAGCCTTGTAGATAGGGCATAGTTGGGTTTTTTGTTACTTTATCCACCTGCCCTCTTTGGCTTTAGATTGGATAATTTAATCCATTTACATTTAGATTAATCATTGATAGATAAGGACTTACTAATGCCATCTAATTAATTGTTTTCTAGCTGTTTTGTAGTTCCATTGTTCCTTTCTTCCTCTCTTGCTGCCTTCTTTTGTGAATTGATGGTTTTCCATATTGCTATGCTTTGATTTCTTCCTCTTTATCTTTTCTGAATCTAGTATAGATTTTTGCTTTGTGGTTATCATGAGGCTTACATAAAATATAGATATAACAGTCTGTTTAAGCTGATAACGCATTTTCTTTGATTGCATATACAAACTCTACTCTTTTGCTCCTCTCTCCACATTTTAAGGTTTTGTGTCACAATTTACACATTTTTATTGGGCGTGTCCACTAACAAATTATTGTAGCTATAGTTATTTTTAAAACTTTTCCTTTGATCTTTATGTTGGAATTAAGTGACTTATACACCACTGTATTAGAATATTAGAGTATTCTTAATTTGCGTATATATTTACCTTTACCAGTGTGTTGTATATCTTTATATGTTTTCATGTTCCTAATTAATGTCCTTTCATTTAAACTTGAAGAACTCATTTTAGTATTTCTTGTAAGGCAGGTATAGCATTGATGAATTTTCTCAGCTTTGATTTGTCTAGTATAGTCTTTGTCTCCTTCATTTCTGTAAGACAGCTTTGCTGGGTAAAATATTCTTTGTTGGCACTTATTTTATTTCAGCACTTTATACATGTCACCCCAATCTCTCCTGCCATCAAGTTTTCTCTTGATAAATCTCCTGTTATACTTATGTGGGTTCCCTTATATGTGAGGTATTCTTTTTCCCCTGGTGCTGCTTTCAAAATTCTCTATGTCTTTGGTTTCGGCTATTTTTATTATACTGTGTCTTGTGAAAGATCTCCTTGAGTTGAATTTGTTTGGAGACAAAGTCAGCTTCTTGATTTTGATAGTCCATATCTCACCCCAGATTTGGTAAGGTCACTGTCATTATTTCTTTAAATAAACTTTCTGACCCTTCCTCATCTCTTTTCATTCTGGCACTCCCTTAATGTCTAAAGTATTTCCCATGATGGTATCCCATATTTCATGTAGGCTTTCTTCACTCTATAATCCTAATTCCTTTGTTCTCCTCTAACTAGAAAATTTCAAATAACCTGTCTTCAACTTCACTGTTCTTTCTTCCCCCTGATAAATTCTGCTGTTGATGGTCTTCATTGTATTTTTCATTTCATTCATTGTATTCTTCAGTTTCAAAATTTCTACTTGGATCTTTTTATAATTTCTATCTCATTGTTTCCCTGATTTCTTTGAATTGTCTTTTTGTGTTTTCTTGTAGCTCACCAAGCTTTCTTAAAATAACTATTTTGAATTCTTTATTAGGAAAATCATACATCTTTATTATTTGGGTTCAGTTACTGGAAAATGACTGTGTGCCTTTTGTGTTGTCATATTTCCTTGATTTCATTTATTTCTTAAAGTGTTGCATTGCTGTCTTTCCATCGAAGGTGCAATCACTTCCTCCAGCCTTTACTGACCGACTTTGGGAAAGAACTAGCTTCTATCACCAGCGCTGGGGATTCCTAGGCTTTCAGACCTTTTTGATGACTAGGCCTGCTCCACATGTCTTATTTCCTTTAGGGAGGGAATTCTTAGGTTGTATGCCTTCTCACAATCCTGCAGTGCCAGTCTGGGTGCTGACAGCTTCCTGTTTGCTTTGCTCTGGGCATTCCTGAATGATCAAGTTTGTTTTCTCCCATTCCTGTAGAGTGAGGTTGGCTTCTTAAGTGTGCATACTAGCCATCTGCAAAGACTCCCATTCACTAATATTGGGGGTGTACACAGGAGCTGGCCATGGGACAGAGAGGGGGGTGTAGACGAGATGTGCGATGTGTTGGGGGGACCAGCGGGTGAGCAGGATCTGCAGGCAAGGGTTCCCCAGTGGCTAGTGGGTGGGCTTCCTAATGGAGTCTTCAAAGTGGTTAGTAGGATCTGAGTCCCTTGAGGCATTCTGAGCTCTGGCTGCTGTGCTCCAAGATTTTCCCAAACCCCTCAGTCATGCAGATCACCTCAGTATTCTAGACGTGGTGGGAAAGAAATGGGCCCTTTTGTCAGTGAGACACACAGCTGAGGAAGCCAAACAGTCACTTACATGTTCTTTCTTTCCCCTACCGGAAAAATCGTGGGTGGAGTGGGTCTCTCTTGGCACTGAGCTGTGCCACTTAAGGGGAGGAATGACTCACACAAGAGAAACTGTACCTCTCACCCTCAAGTATCCAATGTTGGATCATTTTGCTCAATTGGTGTGCTGAAACTTCTCTGCTGGATTCCCAAACTCCCAGAAAGATGCTTTTGTGCACGGGTAATTGTCAAAGTCAATGTCCTTTGAGGGGAAGAAAATAGAAACTCTTCTGCCATCTTGCTGATGTCACTCTACTGTTAGAGGATTCTCTTTTGTCATTCTCTTACTATTTTATTGATTAATGTCTATCAATAGGCTCATTTATTTTGATACATATGTATCAAGAAAATTTTATATCCCTTCATACACACTTGAAAAAAATAGAATCAAATAGCTCCATTGGCAAAACAAGAAGGTGATATAAACATTTTGTCACAATTAACATAAATGAGATTTAGCAAATCTTAAGCTTATTGGGATCTCAGCCCAGTTTTCTTACTGATATGGATGCATTTAGGAGCAGGGGACCAGTCATTCTCAATACATGTCATTAGGCTCTGCTCATCTGGAAGACTGTCAACAGGATATCATTCAACTTTTAGAGATTGACCCTGTAAATATTATTTTCCATAATATAGATATTTTCTATGTGCCAAATAATTGAAAATATATTGTCCTAAGGGTCATAAAAATGATAGATGAAAAATTTTAAAACCTGTAAGTTTGGCCAAAAAAGTAAATTAACAATTATCTTTATATTATTTAAACTAGAATGAATAACTATCCAAAAATAATATATAACTTAAGAAAAACTAAAGCTGCTACCAATGTCTTTTAAAACTAATGTTCAATATTATTTATTTTCAATATTTATTATATTTGTTCTCATCACTTTCTTTCAACAATTTCCTAGAGGTCCAAATCAGTGCAATAGGATAAAAAAATAAAAAAAAATTCAAAATAAAAATGGGCCAATAGAAATAAAATCTTTCATTTGCTATGATATAGTTGCTAACAAAACAATACCTAAAATGAATAAGATGCCTTAGCATAGTTTCAGAGGATAAAATTAATATGCAAAAGTCAGGTGCATTTCTTTATATTTGCAGCAAAAATATTAAAAAAGCAAGTATCAAAAATTTGCATTTGTAATATTAAAAATATAAAATATGAATAAATATTTTAGAACTGTAAATCTTCTACACTGAAAACATTACTGGCAAAATAGAAACAGAAATAAATAATTGAAGAGATATATCATGTCTATAGATTGAACAGTCAATATGGTTAAGATGTCAATTAGCCCTAATTTATCTTTCATTATAGAAGCCATCTCGTTCATTATACAGCAGATATTTTATAGAAATTGATGTGTTCCCTGAAACTTCTGTTAATGAAAAGACTAGAAACACTAACACAATATTGAAAAGGAAGAACATAACTGGAGAAAATATATATATCAGATTTAAAGACTTACTCTAAAACTGTAGTTATCAAGGAATGTGGCAGAGCTAAGGAGAGATCAATGGACTGAATAGAGAGTCCAGAAATAAATCACTGCTTCCATAATCAATTGACTTTCCTTTAAAAATCTTTTCCACACATATTGGTAGAACAACCAGCTATCCATATATAATAAAGAACATCAACCACATTTTACACCACACTCGAAAAATAATGTAAGGGGGATAATATACCTAAATATAAATGCTAAAGCTATACAGCTTCTAGACTAAAATGTAGAACATGTGTTCTTTACTGCCTGTGATTAATAGTCATTTCTTTTAAAAAATGACAAAAACTATGTTAAATTGTAAATAGGAGATTTGTTTTTATATTGGTATGAAACTACTTTCTGTATATCTAAGCTTGAGGAAATTGTTAAAAATATTGAGGATAGCGAGTTAAGGTATCCTAAACTTAGAGGAGAAAAATATAGATATAAAAAGTGGAAAACTGGAATGAACTCTGTGCTATTAAATTGAAATTGGTGATGTGAGTATGACTTACAGTTTTCAGGATAGATCTAGATAAACAAATAGAAAAATAGATGACTAGATAGATACATATATCATTAATAGATCCATACATTTATAGATACATGCATATATAGATAGATATGTACATAGATACATACATAGATAGATATCTACATAGATATATTGATACCTAACAGTCATAGGCAAGGCATAGACAGATTTGTGTGTAATACAAAGAATTAGAAGCAATGGCATTCTAATAGTAATGAGCACACCTACTGCCCCAGATGTTCATTTAAAGCCATCAGCTTTCTAGGTTGTTTGTTAAATAGCTGACTACTGCACATGATACAATAAAAAATGTAGAAGCAGTGTTTTGGTCAGTTTCTAAATTAGCTTCCAGAATGAAATTTATCTGAAACAATAAATAGCTGATTTATTTTATCTTCATAAATTAGGAAGAAATAGAATAAAATTTTGAAAACATTATAAGTAAGAGCTTACCTTTGCAAGTAGGTTCAGGATACCATCTTCCATTTATGCAGATTGAGCGTTTGTATTTTCCTTTACACTTGTAACTTATGCTGGTGTTATGATTAAATTCAATCTCATCTGATAGCTTTGCCTCACGTGCAATTAACCTTGGTAATTTACATTTCTCAAGTTCACCTGTTGCTATAAAATTATTTCCTTGAAAAGTATAATTACAAGAAACAAAGAAAATGCTAAAAAACAGCTATACAATCGATAGTATAATGAAAATAGAACATATGACTATAAATTACACCAACCAAGCTATTCCTAATCATATTCATAAGATGGATTATTATGTATGAACACAAATCCTGTGTCCAGTCTTTAAAATTTCAGAGGAAATATTCACCGTGAAGACATTTTGCACTTTGGAGACTGGAAGAGCATAAGAGTTTCACGTTTTTGGATGATCTACACAGTAATAGTCACCCGATGACTAAATTTGGTCCCATATTTGAATCTGTGCATATGGTCACATTCATTTGTTTCTTGATCTCAAGGATCTCTACATCATTTTTAACCCACAATTTTAAAACATTAAAATAAAAACATTGATCTATGGAACTAGAATATATGGAGTTGCTAGTTTAAATATATTTTTTAAAGAAAGTTAATGCAGTATAATAGGAAAGTACGTCTAAGATGTATTGTACAGAATGTGAATATTTAAGCGGATATTTAAAAAGAGAACAGATAATTGGAATGAGAAATTGAGAGCTTAAAGTCGCGATCTTTCTATAAATAATTGTAGAAATTTTAAGAAGCTATTTTAAACACCAGATCATCGCATAATTCAATAATATTATAGTACCAAAATAGAGAGATCTTGTCAAGATGGCGGCATAAGCAGACTCTGAACTCATCTCGTCCCACAAACACAACCAGGCTACAACTATTTTTGGAAAAATTACCCTGAATGGAAAACTGAAACCTGGATAAAAAGAACCCCCACAACAAGGGACAGTCCTGAATAAGGTGGAAGAGGCAGAAATTCCTGCTGGAGAGGGAAAAAGCCATCTCTGGGAGCAATACGTGTGGAAAACACCAGAAGAACTAAAATAACCTTGAAAAGGAAGAACATAATTGGAGAATATATCGATCAGACTTCCAGACTTACTATAAAGCCACAGTTACCAAGGTAATGCGTCAGCGCTAAGGAGAGAGAGAAATGGGTAAATGGACTGAATAGAGAGTCTAGAAATAAATCAACACTCCCATAGTCAACTCATTTTCACTTCAAAACCTTTTCCACACATAAACAAACTTACAGACAAAAAGGAGAATTTAGTGGTTACCAGGGGGAAGTGGGGAGGGGTGGGCACAAGGGGTAAAGGGGCACATTTATAGGGTGTCTGACAAATATTAATGAACAACTGAAATTTCACAATGTTATAAAATATTATGATCACAATTAAAACAAATCTTTTCCACACATATTGCTAAAACAACTGGCTATCTATATACGATAAAGAATACCAATGCCTATATTACACCATACTCAAAAATTAATGTAAGATGGATAATATACCTAAATATAAATGCTAAAACTATACAGCTTCTAGAAGAAAATGTAGAACATGTGTACTTTACTACCTGTAAATATTACTTATTTCTTTTAAAAAAGAACTAAAGATATGTTAAACTGTAGATAGGAGATTTGTTTTTACATTACTATGATACTATTTTCTGTGTATTTTAGGCTTGAGGAAATTGGTAAAAATATTGAGGATAGTGACTCAAGGTATCCTAAACTTAGAGGATACAAATACAGATATGAAAAGTGGAAAACTGGAATGAACCCTGCTCTATTCAACTGAAATCAGTGGTATCAATATGACTCAGAGTTTTCAACATTGATATAGATAAATAGGTAAACAGATGATGGATAGATACATAGATACATACAAACATAGATACGTATATAGATATACTGATACACAGTGGTCACAGGCATAGGAATAGACAGATTTGTGTGTAGCGTGAGGACTTAGAGGCAATGTTGTTCTAATAGTAATGAGCACACCTACTGCCCAGATGTTAATTTAAAGCCACCAAGTTTCTGGGTGGTTTGTTATATAGCTGATTACTGCACATGATAGAATTAATATGTAGAAACAGTGCTTTGATTAGTTTCTAAATTACCTTCCAGGTTGAAAATTATTTGTAATAATAAATACCTAAAATTTTCACTTCCACACTTTAGGAAGAAATAGAATAAAATTTTGAAAAGATTACAAATAAGAGCTTACCTGTACAGGTTAGTTCAGGATCCCATCTTCCATTTATGCAGGTTGAGTGCTTGTATTTTCCTTTACATTTGTAACTTACGTTGCTGTTATGGTTAAATTCAATCTTATGTGATAGCTTTACCTCACGTGCAGTTAACTTTGGTAATTTACACTTCTCAAGTTTATCTGTTGCTATAAAATTAAAGATTTCCTTGAAAAGTCTAATTATAAGTATCAAAGCAACTACTACAAAAAAGAGCTCTACAGTCAATAGCATAATGAAAATAGAATGCATGCCTTTAAATACCACCAACCAAGTTATTCCCAATCATATTGCATAAGGCGGGCTGTTATGTATGAACATAAGCCCTGTGTCCAGTCTTTGAAATTTCAGAGAAAAGAACCATCATATAGACATTTTGGAGTTTGGAAGAGCATAAGCAGTTCACTTTTTTGGATGACCTACACAGTGAACAGTCAGCTCATGACTAAATTTGATCGCATATCTGAAATCTGTGCAAATGGCCACATTCATTTGTTTCTCGATCTCAAGCATCTCTACATCATTCTTAATCCACAATCTTAAAACATTAAAGTAAAAACAATTACCTGTGGAGCTAGAATATATGAAGTTGCTAGGTTAAATATATTTTTTCAAGAAAGATAATGTAATATAGCAGGAAAAGTACATCTGAGATGTATGTTTAGAAGGTGAATATTTAAGCAGATATTTAAACAGAGATAGATAATTGGAATAAGAAATTGTGTGTTTAAAGTCATGATCTGTGTTCTACACATAATCTTGGAATTTTTAAGAAGCTATTTTAAACACCAGATCATCCTAAAACTCAATAATATTGCATTACCAAAATAATAAATATTTACTGGTTCCAATATGAGTTAAATATTGACTGTAGAAGCTTTCTATATAGCTACATATTTCAGAAATTCAATGCAGATGAGAGTCCTTTTGACTCTGATAAAATATCAGTGTAGATTTTTGGTAGCATTGTTAAGGATTTGTTAAAGATCAGAGTCAAGTGAGAATGAACAGAATAAAGAAAAGTCAAGTAATTGGCCCAAAAACAGTAATGATTTTGTATGGTAACCTTGAAACAACATTTCTAAAAAGGAGACACTCAAAACACACCAGAGGCTTGAGGGTTAGTCCTCTTTGGGTCACTGGTCTAGAGTGTTGAGGGAGAAAAAACTAGATATTCTTCAAGAGATGGTAAGTGAAGGAAGATCTATAATCAATAGGAGTGGTGGCGGTTGTCATTATGTCCTGTGATTTCTTGGTTTCTGAAAGGATTCATCTGATTTTTAGGAGAAAATAAACAAACTGAAAAGAATGAAAATCTAGACTAGGGGGAGGTACAAAATGAGAAAATCGGAATAAGGCCTATGACAGCTGGAAGGGGATTATGTGAAGCTGAATATAGGTAGAGGACTCATCTGAGAAAGGGAAACTCTGAGATCAGAGGAGAGTAATAATTGAAGCAGATATTTGGTGTAAGTTGGGATTAAAAGTTGTGAGTTTTCATGCCTGATATTACTTTGGGTTTTTCTCCCATAAATAATGGGATGAGATCATTTGTGGAGATAGAAGAGGATAAAGATGAGGCTTACTCTTGACAAACTGGCAATATTTTTGACAGGCATATGTTTAATGAAAATTTAAGGATTAGTGTAACAAAATTCATTGATTCATTTAACAAACTCCTATTGCATGTCTCCTGTATGTCAGCCCATCTTTGGGTGTTGGGAACACGTAAGTGAACAAGACAGCTATGACTTCCTGCTCTAATGCAGCAGAGGCTGAGCTCTACCTGCTCTTTGGAATAATCAATGACTAGAAATCTGATGAATAAGTAAGAGTGGACATCCAGGGGTCTCATTCAATGTAGATTCGAGGAAAACTCCAGGAAGGAACTCATTCTAAAGGAAAAATGAAAGAGGGCCCCCAACATTCTCCCAGGTAGTCATCACAGACTTGGTCATCCAATGGTCAGGATGATTCTCTTACAGAGTGAAGGGCATCAATCAGATTTGTTTCCTGGCCCAACCTCAACTGCCTCCTATGTCTGAGCTACACTCCTGACTAATAGGGTTTGTGGCCCACCCATTATCTGGCTTATTAACTTCTTTTTGCTGCATTTGAAACAGACTGAGAAAGTATCATTGTTAGAAGCTCTGAGAGAGGCAAGATTCCTATAGGAGTATAGCAAGAGGGTATTTTCTCAACTTTATTTCCTTTAGTTGTCCAGGGCTTGAAAGAAAGACTGCCATAGAAAAACAAAACTGGTATTTGTGCAAATATAGTTCTAATTTTCTGGTAACTAGTACTCATATTTTAGTCATGTAAATATCTTTAAGTAAAATTTAGCTTCATGCTTATAAACAATGTTAATATCAAGGATAGAAAGATTCATAAAATTATATTGCTAGTCTATATTTGTCCTCTGTAGAAACATTGAATTATCAACAACAAATGTTTGGATTCATTACAATTTAAAACCTTGCATTTTCAGGAACATATCTAAATTTCAAAACTATGGTTGCAAATATAGTTTTTACAATAAAAATATTAAAATCTATTAAATGTCCATTTGAGACGTGTATTCTCACCAATGCACCGAGGAAGTTGGGTCCACATTCCACGAATACATGTAATTGATCTGTGTCCAATCATTGTAAATGCTTCTCTGCAAGTGAACGCTACTGAGTCTCCATGGCGATAGGGAGGGACAGAAGGCTCGACATAGCCATGATCAAGGTCAGGTACATCTCCACATGTACTCTCCTCCTCTGTGAAAATTTCACAAAAATATTTTTATTTGTGTGTATGTGAAAATGAACACAACGAATTGATTTGTTTAAATATTAATATTTTTATCATTAATAATACTCATAGGCAGGGTTGTCCATTCTCCATCAACACACTGAATTTTGTTAGAACCCTTCAAAAGAAATCTAAGATTGCAAACATTCCACCACTTCCCTGTGTCCTTATTCTTCTTTCTGTTTCTTTAACTTTCTCGTTAGGGAGTTGAGGAGGTGGACCACATGATTTTACTTCACCTACAGTAGAAATACTGTGCAATTAATGGTTGAATTGTCTATATAAAGCTTAAAAATCCAGTAAAATGGAGATATTTTTCTTTAATTAATTTATTATTTATTAAATAACTTATTAGAACATTCTTAAACAAGAACAAAAGAATAGTGTTTACACCAGATTCGTGTTTCCCAGTTCTCTTACTTACACTACTGAGCTAGCACATGGGAAGTATATTTAAGCTCAGAAAATACGTTCAATAATCTAGATATTCTAAAGATGTATGCAAACCAGTTAATAAATATGGTTGTGTTAATTATAGAAATATTCATATTCCATGGAGACATTTTATCAAAACTTTTTGAAAAGATACCATCAAGCATTTGATCAACATATTTTAGCTTTGATTAATCAATCCATACATATGTGGTTGGACTGACTGTGAGTTGCTTAAGCATTGTTTAGACACACTCAGTGAAACTGAGGTAAGGCCCACGATCTATAAAATGTCCAAAGTTAGTGGTGGAAATGTAGGCAAAAGGAAAAGTAACAAAAGAAATCCCTTCAGTGTCAGATACCATGTATGTATGCACAGAGACTTCCACTACATGTTGCAAGAAACAACTGGACATTAGTTTCTTATCAAAGGCAATCTGAAGTATCTATTATGGAACACATGTCCTTCACAGGTATATCTTTGGCTTAATTCATTAGATTATAGACACACTAGAAGCCAACAGAAATTGAGAGCGAAAATAATGATGATATCCAAAATTCTAATTCTTGTGTCAGTAATTCTAAGATACATATTCACCTTTACATGTTGGAAAACTAGGGGACCATCCAGAGTGGTGGCACTGAACTGAATCTGCTCCAACTTGTATACGTCTTTGTCTGCAGGAGAATTTCAACACGTCTCCAACTTTGTATCTGTCTTTCTTGGGCTCAACATTTAAATATTCATCTATTTGGGGAATACTGCATTCTTTTTCTATAAAAAAGATCAAATAATTTAATGAGAATATATGATCATTGCCAAAGTAAATTTTATATGTGCTGCATCCCGCATATACAGAGAGGGCACCAGGTAAATCCTCTTCCTTGAAAAACGTTACATATTGGGTTTTATACACCCTCTAAATCCACAGGAGACACTTTGATACATACTAAGATATTGAACAGCAAAATATACGTCCTGAAAATTTATTTGTAAAGTCAACTTTCTCATACTGGATCTGATTTTAATACTGACATTTACAACATTTAATGTTACAATTTATGTATTCTTACAAAAGTATAATCTCATATTAAAAACATAATTCTATAATTTTAAAATTGCACACTTAAATAAAAATTGGTATTTTTGTTTAATATAATTGGGGACAAATACACACAAATGAGAGATTTTTAATGTGTTTCAGTTAGAAGAACATTAAATATTGCTTAATTAATATTCTGAACGTGAAGAAATAAAACTGAAACTTCAAACAAAATGAAGAAACATGTTTGAGGCCACAAGCTAGGAGTATTCTAGGTTCTCTGGTTATTTATAGAATATAAAACTATTATTATACGTATAATTTATACTAGCTACTAATAAATGTTTAATTATTCTGATTCAATTTAGAAATGTGCAAAATTATTTCTTGAAATTTGTAAATTTTGTGAAATTTGCGAGCTTGCTAAATACTATCAAAAAATGCTTTTTTCTTATTTGAAAATTTCCTACCTTGCTAGTTAACTTATAAAATTAAAAATGAATTTAAAAATTAGAATCAGACTACAGGGGCTGGCTCCATGGCCTGGTGGTAAGTTCGCGCGCTCCACTGCAGGCAGCACAGTGTTTCGTTGGTTCGAATCTGGGCGCGGACATGACACTGCTCATCAAACCACGCTGGGGCAGTGTCCCACATGCCACAACTAGAAGGACCCACAACGAAGAATATACAACTATGTACTGGGGGGCTTTGGGGAGAAAAAGGAAAAAAAAATAAAATCTTTAAAAAAAAAATTAGAATCAGACTACAAAGAAATTTCATACTATCTAAAAGTCAAGAACTAAAACATACTCCTAAAATTAGATATACATCAACTATTCTTAAAAGCAACATCACCAAAAATAACTAGATAAATTTTATTTTTTGTTATTTTAATGTTGAGTTTTGTAGCTTAGTTAAGAAGGCCACACTTGATAAGAACTAAAGAGATTCCTCTCTCAAAGTTGTATTCCAATCTTCTGCATAGCAATTCTTTTATTTGTATGTATCTTTGTGCTCATTTTATATAAATTCTCTATCAAACTGTGAAAAATGCCACCTTAACAACAGCTACAAAACATGTTGGCTCTAAGCTATTTTATAACTCTTATATTTATATAAAGATAATGACAAAAAATGTGATTTAACAATGAATTTGAAAGGGCATACTCTGAATTAGAGATAGTTCTCTTTACCCAAAGGTCAAAATCCCAAATCCTAGCACTGATACTTGGAAACATGAGTATGGCTTTTTACTCTGAAGTGTACATTTATTTAAGATTGCTGTACACTTTGCTGGGCTTAAGTGGCTAATGATCACAACAATTCTTTGGAAACCTCTCCCCAAGAGAGAGAACATCCAGGATATTTGAAATAAACTCAACTATCAGCCAATCTGCGTGCACTTTTCTGCTACGTGGTTGAGGGAAGCTGTTTGAACAGAATACGGAGCTGCTCATTCGATTTGTTCATTCGCTATTTGGAGGCATACATCGTTGTGGTGAATTCCTACCAAGGTGTTCACAAGATCGTAAGTTTCTATAAAATTTTCAGTAGAAAGCCATATTGGCCATATCAGTTTCTACTGCTGTCTCTGTTACTCCTGCTTTCTCTCCTTCATGTTTTCCTGTCATGTGGTGACACTGGAAAGACCATGGGAATTATGTAGTCATGATTTTACATTCTTCATTAAAAAAGGCCCTCAAAATTGTAAATCCTTCTGGCTTCATAAAACATGGATCTACCCCTAATCCCAGTAAACAATTCATGATCATCTTAAAAGACTTCCATTTTACTTAGAATAAAATCTAAACTCTTTATGATCCATCCTTTGCCTGCACTACGAGTGTCATCTTATCCCTCTCTCCCCCTGTCAATTCAGACTCCAGGCTTTATGATCTTTGAAATTTTTAAATAAGTTGAGTTCTTTGCTGCCTCAGCTGTTGCACAGACCCCTATCTCTATCCTGAACAGTTTTCTATCTTTCTTTGCATACATGCCTTCCTATGTTAAGTAGATTTCTCAGTCCCCTCCAATTTCCTAAGTCCTTGGATCCTTTTGTTTCTTTGAACAGAGTTACATATTAAATAGCTTTAAAATGTTTTTGCCATTTGGTTCATTATTTGGCTTAATTCGTTGGTTTTCTCATGCTGGAATGAAAGCTCTCAAAAGTCGGAACCATGTTTTTCATCATTTTCTCCTAGCCTGTTTCTAGCCCTTGATACATGTTTCTTGACAGCCTGAGTGAATGAAATTTAACTGGGACGACACTGCTAAGCAAGTCTATCTCAGCTCTATAGTAGGCTCACTGTGTGTCTCTCTCAGAAGTCTCTGTTCTACAGCTTTTCTGCTCTGCCTAGCGTTCCTTCTCCTTTCCACATGCACCACTCAATCTCACATGACTTTGTCTCATATTTCAAAGGGACATAGAAACCATCAGATCCCGCTTCTTCCCAGCATGACATTGGCACATCCATTTTCCTTCCTTCCTCCTGTGAAAAGTTGGAAGTAGCCCTGTGGGGACCAAAGCCTAGTGCTTCCACAGGAGCCCTGGTTCCCTTTCCCTCCCAGCTTCACGGGGAACTATCCACCTCATATGTTCCATCTCTGCCTGCCTCTTTTCTAATCCATCCTCCTCAGCATTCAGTCCGCTCTCATGTCTCCCATCTTTAAAAAAACACACTCCCTTTGGTGAATAATTTCCTCTAGCAATGTTCTGAATTTCCTATTCTTTGGCACAGTACCTTCTTGAAAGAGTTATGCCCACATTCTGTATGAAGTTTCTTACTAATCCTTTGTCTTCACTAAATCTTATTTAGCTTCTGCCCCATGTACTCCATCCAAAACTGTTTCTGATACAGTTATTGTTATCCTAGATGTAGCCAAATCCGTCACGTTTTTACAGTCTTCTAACTGGACATATCAACTGAATTAGAAATATTCACTGCTCAAATTACCACAATAATATAATTAGATTACAATTTCCTTGAGTTTATTATATGGCAGGCACTGTGGCAAGAACTTCATAAAGGTAGTTTAGTCTACAGTCAAAACAATCCTTCGAAATAATAGAACAAATGTAAATATTAAAACACTTTACAGATAAGAATGAGTGAACAAAGCTTCAAATAAGCTTGGTTGTTGACCTAAGATATGGCCTTAGCAAGTGGTGGAATTGGAAGTAGCACCTGGCCTGGCTGACTCCACAGGCCTCACTATTAATCCTTGTGGTCTATTCCCTGACCCTTTAGGCATTTTCTTCTCTCCGTATCTATAACAACATTCATTACAACATTTTTTCTCCCTATTCTCTGGGTCCTCCTTTTTCCATCTACTTTGCTGCCTGTTCCTTTCATGGCACCTAAATGTTGGGATGCTTCAGGATCCAGGCCTGAGCTCCTTTTCCTTTCATTCCATATTCTTTTACAATTTGAAATCCTCATTTATATGGTGATAATCCCACAAGTATATCTCTTGGCTAGACCTACGCATCTAACTCTGTGGTTTACATATTTGATTTTGATTGTCCATGGGCAGCCCAACTGTAACGTGTCCAAGTCAAAACTTGTGATGGTCCTTCCAAAGTGCTCTCTCTCCTGCCAGAAGCACGTCACCAAAAGGCACTGCCACTTACCTGCTTGCTTAGAAAAAATAAAAGCAAATAAACATGTGAGTTGACCTCTTACTCTTCCTCACAGCCATTTCATAATATTACCTGTGCTTTTACATCCAAAACATATCCCAAATCTGTCCTCTGCTCTGACTCTCAGCCATCACCCTATCCCAATCCCCACCCTGTCTCACCCTACATGTACTCCTGAGTTTTCTCTTGTCCACCACAAGCACAGCATGAAGGAAAAGAAAACTTTCAAAAATCAAAAGAAATTTGCATCATTCCTTTCCTTAGAAATCCTTTATGGCATTTCATCAATCATAAAATTAATCCAGTTGCAAACATGCCTTGAAATAACCATCATAACCTTTCCTTTGCCTCCTACCCTCCCACAGCTCATAAAATTCTCTGACATCTTGAGTGGAATCTGCTCACCCTGAGATTTCCCAAATATTGTCTGGTTTTCAAAGCTTTGCACCTACTATTCCTTTGGCTTGGAACACTCTATGTCCACTCAGGTTTCTGCAAATCCAAGCCCTATTTCTAACTCTGGAAAACAGACAACTGCTTGGAAAATAGAAAAGAGATTCTAGTAAGAGTCCACAGAACTTGTCAAAGTCAGAAAATAAAGACCTCCTCTCAGGACCTGCAGAAATGAACACTCAAGGTGGGAGGGGTAAAGCAGAAACTGAGGAGCAAAATAGCTGAATAAGTTGTAAGAAACTATAATTTTGGCAATAAGTGCCCAGTTTTACATAATATGAAGGCTTGCATTTGGAATAACAAAAACAATTGTACTTTAATCACAAATCAATGATGCATATGGCCCATAGGAAACATTACTTAAATGCACAGTGTTACAGATTAGTATCTGCAGCTTGAAAACACCCTCTCCACCCAGTTTACATTAAATCAGAAGAAGACATGCTGATTTTAATCATTGTTCCATAAAATGATCCAGATAATTCCCATGAAAATATCTCATTTTTAACAAATTTTGTTCATTCAGAAAAAAGGAAGAGCCAAAAAAACAACACTTACCGTAACATGTGGGTGAATCAGACCAACCATCATAACCACAAATAATGGAACCTGTGGTGCGTCCACCTCTGCTTTCATATCCATCACGGCACACATAGTCCAGTGTGTCATTGAGCTTAAACCAAGTGCTATCATTTTTGGCTCTGGCATTCTCAAATACTGGCATTTCACATGATTCTAGTGCATAATAGAATTGAAAACTTCATTTCTGATATTATTAAATGGACAATCTAAATAAGTCCCATACCAAGGGAAAAAAACTATATCAATTAGTATGTGCTGTTAAAGTATCATATGAAAAAAATTGAAGAATGCCAGTGATAAATCATTGTCCTAAAACAGTTACTCAAATTAAAAAAAAAAAATGTTTCTACATAGCATTTTTCTCATCATTTAAACTCTCTGAAAAATTTATTTAAAGAATATTTTTCTCAATTCAATTGTACTTATGCATTCGGACATATTAGCCAGTACCTAGGCCAGTACGTTTCTTAGCAAAGCAAAATAGCATTTTGTGAATTAAGATGCCCAATCTATTAGCTTTTGTGACATATATGCCAGAGGAAAATGGATTCGTTGAATAAAAAGATTAATTTTCAAAAAGGCAAGTAAATTTTTAAATATTCTATAAAACTCTGCTTTAAAACATACTAATTTTTAAACCTCACATACTTATTTTGCTTTTCCAAGTATTTTCCTAAATGCTTTGTATTCTTTTATACTTCTCAACACTGAATGTAGAGAGAGTTCAGTGCTTTATAATTAGTTATAAGAGAGTAAAATCTTAACAGACAGCCTCAGATCTCACTAACATTATACTAGAGAGATGTTAATAAAGGTTTAAATAATTTATCTCAAATTTTATAATGCATTATGAAGCCAGCTATCTTAAAACCTTAAAAAAAAAAGCAAAACTATACTAGTAAAAATTTAATAGAGACATTTTCTCTTCCACAGTGAGTGTTATAATAGACACTGATCACAATTTAGTGTAAAACTGGTTTCATTTGGGGATAACATCATTTTTTCTTTGGCTAGAGACTTTAGTAAGCGTAGATGGAAAAAATTCAAGGAAAACAGTAGAAATGGGTATTTTAAATATCTTCTTCACTTAAAGTGAATATGTTAAATAACATCTCAGAAAATATCACTGTGTGACTTTAGGACAATAAGAAAAACTGAGCAAATTGTTCTTAGAAAAATCTTCCTAAACTTCTCGGTAGTGGGAGAGGGAAATCTTTCAACACAGTAAGATGTAGTACTATCTAGAAGTGTTTCTCAGTCCCCACTAACTCGATGTTTAGGAAGATTTTCTGAGAGGATTTTTCAGAAGTGGATTGATCCTACAGTCTCAAACATATAAGTTACATGATCCAAGGTTATGCATTATGGACCCGTAACCATATTCTCACTTCAAAATATAACTTTCAGGTCTAGGAGCAAAGACTCTGACATAAAAGTCTCATCATCTAAAAACAGGTTGAACAGGCACAAGGATCTCAGCGAATAACAAAGGACTTGACACCAGAACACACATAACGCTCCTAACCAGTTTGGAAATCACAGGAGGTCTTAAAGAGGAGAAACTTGCCTGAACGATGAACTGATATTCTACCCCACAAGTGATTCATCTTAAAAGGCAAAATATTGTATATTTTTCTCACAGCTTTTTTATTTATCTTCTCAAATGGAACCACCTCAGACTCCTCACAAAAGAAGAATTAGATTAAACTTTTGTACAATGAGGATCATGATAATGAATACTAACATAACCAACTACTTACTAATGCATGTGGGGTGAGCTGACCATCCACTTTGCAGACATGTAATTGATCCTGAGGTTTGGCCATCTGCTGTTAGGTATCCTGGTTTACATTTATATTCTGCTTGTGTATTTAAGGAATAGGTAAAGTTAGATTCAGAAACAAATCCATTCTCAATTTCTATATCTGACTTTGAACATGTTTCTAAAAGGGAGAAAGTATAAGAAACAGATCAGTATATGTCATTTGTAAATGAAAATCTGAGAAATCCTAATATTTCAATTTCTTGTGACAAAAATAACAAGCTATAAGTTTCCAAACATATTAAATCAAGATAATTTATTCAAACTTGGGGGGACAAAGTAAGATTTAAAATACTCAGAATTCCTAATAAGGAATTTTTCAAACTCTGTGGGTCTTATGCATCTTGAATCCTACAAAATGTCAGAGATCTCCTAGCAATGGATCTTTTCTGGGACTTGATTTCAATATTGTCTAGTTTGGATCTCCCAGGCAATCCCAGAACTCAATCAGGGTATCTGAGATCAGGTGATGATCTCAGAGAATTCCCACCGTATCTCCCACAGTCTTTGGCTCTGAGAAATTAAAATCTAGGTCAACGTAATAGAGTGCTAATGAACCTCATGGAGACAAGGAACTCAATGAAGATGACAAAGATCAACACATTCATTGATCTTCCAAGGCCAAAATGATAACCCAAATTATGTATAATTTTACCCGAAACAGTAAAAGTAAATTCTGTCAGTTACTAGGTCTCCTCACAGAACTCAGCTCCATTTATTAAATATCCCATGGATAAAGAAGAAATCAAAAGGGAAGACATTAAATACTATGAATTGAATGATAATAAAAACAGGTTAAATAAAATCTTGTGAAATCACACTAAGGTACTGCTAAGAGAGAATTTTACCATTAAATAGCTACAAAAGAAAAGAATAAAAACTGAAAATCAATAATTGTTTTTACTTTAGGAGATTAGAAAACAAGCCCACAAAACTCAGCATCAGTAAAATGTTGAAAACAGAGAGAGGTTAGAAAGCTGGTGGAGAAGATGGCCTAGACCCTCCCTCGCCCACAGACAAACCAAATCGAGCAGCAGGTGTTTCAAATCAATCTATTAGAAGTTCAAGAACTGGTTGAGAGATTCCTGCACACCAAGTGAGGGACAAAATGCCAACAGCCTAACTGGTACAAGAAACTAAGACACACTGTCATCATAAAGCCCACCCATGGGACAGCACCATCCAGCTGGGAGGGAATGCCCAACTCCCAGCAACTCTTTGAGGAGCAAAGGGTTCAAAGCACACAACTAGTGCCCCGAGTTTCCAACTGCTACCCCAGGGTCTGGCTTCTAAGTCGCCTGTCTCTGGGAGCTGGAGGGCCCAGCATTTGCTAGTCTCCTGGGAACTACAGGGAACAAAGGGTCAGTTATGAATGGGTGTGCAAACACTTCTCACAGTTCATCCCCAGCTAGTGCAGAGTGAGCAGGTGACAAAGCTCAGATTCCAGTGTCTCCCTAGAAGGAGTTTGATTGCACAGCTTGACTCCCTCTTTTCCAGCTGCTGCTTGAGGGGTTCGCTTCAAATTAACCCATCTCTGAGAGCTGAAGAAGACCACAATTGGCTAGATACATAGAGAGAGGAAAGCATTGGTTTCAAGGGAATGCAGTTTGAAGAAGACTGCATGCATCTGCCACAACTCCTTTCCCCAGCTCAATGCAGAGTGAGTGGAATGAGAAACTCCAGCTCCCAGCTTCACCCTGAGTAGAGAGGGAACTGGACCATACATCTAGTGCCTCAACTTATCTGGCGACTACTGGAGGGACTGGCTTATGTCTGCCCATCTCAGGACACTGATGGGACTTGGCTTCCTCTAGACTCCTGGGGAATGCTAAGTACAAAGACTGCAGGATGGATGAGCACAGAGTTTGAGAGGCACCCAGAAGCTCTGGCTGGGCTCACTGATGATTGATTCCTCAACAATCAAAAAGAATACTAGTGTGCAACTCTCCCTATTTTTATTCAACAGAGTACTGGAAGTCCTAGCCAGAGCAATTCATCAAGGAATAGAGGTAAAAGGTTAAAGGAGCCCATTCGTACAGTGACAGATGGCAACCAGACTTTTGGTGTGAACATGAGATAGTCTGTACTGAAGTCGAAATATAATGAGATACACCCAGAATTTACATAATGATATAAACAAATGCAACCTCTATACAATTGTTTTAAATATTGAAAGCAAATTAAAAGAAAGAAAAGACATCCAAATCAGGAAGGAATACACAAAATTACCACCATATGCAGATGACATCATCATAAACGTAGCTAAATCTAAAGATTAAACAATGAAGCTGTTAGAACTAGTCTCCCTTCTCCTCCTTTCCCCATCAACCACTCAGTCTCAGATGACTTTGTGTCATATTTCCCTGGAAAATAGAAACCGTCAGCTCCTGCTTCTTCCCAGCTTTACGTTTACACATCCATTTCCTTCCTATCTCCTGTGAAAACGTAAGAAGTAGCCCTGTCGCCACCAAAGCCTAGTACTTCCACAGAAGCTCTGGTTCCCTTTCTCTTTGACCTTCACAGGGAACTATCCACCTCATGTGTTCCATCTTTGCCTACTTCCCTCTCTCCTCCATCCTCCTCAGCCTTCAGTCCACTCTCATGTCTCCCATTGTAAAATAAACAAATGCTCCTTTCACTGCATTATTTCCTGTAAAAATATTTTGAATTTCCTATTTTTTGGAATAACTAAATGCTTTGAAAGAGAGATGTGAACATGCTGTATGAAATTTCTTTCTAATTATTTTTCTTCAGTAAATCCTGTTTTGATTACACCATATGTACTCCATCCAAAACTGTTTCTGTTACTGCTATTGTTTGCCTCCAGGTAGGCAAATCCACTGCATTTTTTATACTCTTCGAACTGGATATATCAACTGAATCAAAAATCGCCACAACTCAAATTATCATGAAAAATGTACTTGATTTACAACTCCCGTGTGTTTATTGTATGTCATGCGCTGGGGCAAAAACTTTATAAGGATAATTTAGTCTATTAAGCAAAGCAATCCTTTAAAATCTTGTGACAATTGTAAATCTTAAAACGCTTTACAGATAAGGAAGAGTGAACAAAACTTCAAATAGGCTTGGTTGTTGATCTAAGATACATACGTAGCAAGTGGGGGGACTGGACATAGAAGCTGGCCAGGCTGACTCCACACTTTGCTATTAATCATTCTGGTCTATTACCCCTTCCTTTGCTCATTTTCTTCTCTCCACAGCTAGGATGACCTTCATTCCTACCCTTTTTTCCCTAGATTCCCAGTGTCCCCTTTTTTCCATCTACTTTGCTGCCTATCCTCTTCTGTCTGACACATAATGTTGGAATGCTTCAGGGCCCAGTCCTGAGCTCTCTCTTCCTTTCATTTTATATTCTTTTCCAGTTTGATATCATCATTTGCATGGCGATAATCTCACATGTATATCACTCAGCTAGACCTATACATATAATTCTGGTTTATATCCCATTTTGATTGTCTGTGGGTAGCTCAGCCATAAGGTGTCCCAGTCAAAAGTTGTGCTGATCCTTCTGAATTGCTCTCTTTCCTCCCAGAACCACTTTGCCAAAAGGTATTGCTATTTACCTGCTTCCTTAAAAATATAAAATCAAATAAACACATGAGTGGGCTCTTTACTCTTTCTCACACCAAACATTTTGTAACATTGCCTGTGCTGTCTACCTCCAAAATATATCCCACATCTGTCTTCTGCTCTGCATCTCTCAGCCATCACCTTATCCAATCCCCACCCTTTCTCAGTCTAAATGGACCCCTGAATCGTCTCTTGTCCACCACAAGCACAGCATAGAGGAGAAAAAGAAAAAATAAGCCTTCAAAAATCCCAAGAAAATTATATCATTCCTTTCCTTTAAACTCCTGTATTGCTTTTCATCAATCATCAAATTAATCCAGGTGCAAACATGCCTGGAAATAACCTGGATAATCTTTCCTTCGCCTCCTATCCTCCCTCAGCCCATGAAATTCGCCCACAGCTTAAGTAGAATCAGCTCACCCTGAGATTTCCCAGATATTGTCCTGTATTCAAAGCTTTGCACACACTGTTCCTTTGGCCTGGAACACTCTACATCCACTCAGTTTCCACAGATTCAAGCCCTATTTCTCACCCTGGAAAACAGCTGATTGGCACACAGAAAAGAGAGTCATGGAATAGTCCACAGAACTTGTCAAAGTCGGAAAATAAAGAGCTCCTCTCAGGACCTGCAGAAATGGACACTCAAGGTGGGAGGGATACAGCAGAAACTCAGGAGCAAAATAGCTGAGTAAGTTGTAAGAAATTAGAATTTTGGTAATAAGTGCCTAGTTTTACATAATAGGAAAGTTTGCATTTAGAATAACAAAAACAATTATAAGTTAATCACAAGTCTCTGATGTATATGGCCCATAGGAAATATTACTTTTAGACACAGTGTTAATGATAGATTATTATCTTTGGGCTTCAAAACATCCTCTCCTTCAAGTTTACATTAAATCAAAAGGATATACCTTCATTTTAATCATTGTTACATAAAACGACTCCAGATAATTCAAATTTTTCACAAATTAATGTTAATTTGGTCAATCCCGAAAAAAAGAATATCTGAGAATACAGTACTTACTATAACAAGTGGCTGTATCAGACCAACCATGGTTACCACAAACTATGGAGCCTGTGGCACGTCCACTTCTGCTTTCATATCCATCATGGCACACATAGTCCAATTGGTCATTGAGCTTAAACCAAGTTTTATCACTCTTGGATTTGGCATTCTCAAATACTGGCATATCACAAGATTCTAATTCATAATAGAATGGAAGATTTCATTGCTAATGTTATTAAATGGACAATCTAAAGAAGTAAGTCTCATCACAAGGGAAAAAAAAAGCTTTATCAATTAGCATGTGCTGATTAAGTAGTATATGAAAATAATCTAAGAATACCAGTGATAAATCATTGTCCTGGAATAGTTACTGAAAAAATAATGTTTGTACATAGCATTTTTCTCATCATTTAAACTCTCTGAAAAATCTGTTTTTAGAATATTTTTCTCAATTCAATTATACATATGCATTTATCCCATACTAGTAATAACATAGGCCAATACATTGTTAACAATGGTGAGTTGCACTTTGGGAATTAAGATGTCAAATATATTATCACTCATGACATATATGCCAGGGCTAAATGGATTAGTTGAATAAAAAGATTAATTTTCAACAATGCAATTAAATTATTAAATATTCTATAAAACTTTGCTTTAAAACATACTAATTTTGAACCTCATATGATGACTTTCCTTGCTCAAATATTTTCTTAAATACTTTGTATTCTTTTCACTCTTTGACATTGAATGTAGAGAGTTCTATTGTTTACATTGAGTTACGAGAAAAAATATTATAAAATAGTCTCAATTTTCACTAATATTTTACTAGAATGATGTTAATAAAAGTTTCAAATATTTTTCTCAAATTTTATAATGCATTATTTGGCAAGCTAGCTCAAACCTTTAAAAAATAAAGCAAAACTGTACCAGTAAAAAAATTATTGAATAGACACATTTTCCCTTCTACAATAAGAATGTTGTAATGGATAGCCGATCACAATTTAGTACAAAAATAGTTTGACATGGGGGCAACTTTTATAATTTTTCTGTGACTACTGCCCATAGTAGGCATATTTTGTGCCCATGGGAAGCATACAGAGATTGAAAACAATAGAAATGGATATTTTAAATATTCTCTTCACTTAAAGTGAATATGTTAAACATCATTTCAAAAAATATCACTGTATGGCTTTAATATAACAAGATAAACTGAGCAAATTGTTCTTAGAAAACTTCATAAACATCTATGTAGTGGGACAGGAAAATCTTTCAACACAGCAAAATTTCATACAACCTAGAAGTGTTTCTCAGTCTCCACTAACTAAATTTTTAGCGAGATTTTCTATGGGAGGGAACTTTTCACAACTGGACCGATCTTATAGTATCAAACATATTAGCTATACGCAATGCAAGATTATGCATTATGGACCCATATCTTCACTTAAAAATATAACTTCTGTGGCCAGCCCAGGGTATAGTGGTTAAGCTCACATGCTCCTCTTCAGCTACCTGGGGTTCATGGGTTCAGACCCCAGGCACAGACCTACTACTGCTCATCAAGCCATGCTGTGGCAGTGTCCCACATACAAAATAGAAGAAGATTGGCATGGACGTCAGCTCAGGTACAATCTTTCCCAAGCAAAAAAATAGAGAGAGAGAACTTTTAGGGGCTGGCCCTGTGGTATAGGGGTTAAGTTCCGTGCACTGTGTTTCAGCAGCCCAGGTTCACAGGTTGGGATCCCAGGCAGGGACCTATACCAGTCATCAGTCATGCTGTGTGGTGACCCACATATAAAGTAGAGAAAGTCTGGCATAAGATGTTAGCTCAGAGCTAGTCTTCCTCAAGGCAGAAAAAATAAAAAGAGGAAGATTGGCAACAGATGTTAGCTCAGAGTGAATATTCCTCAGCAAAAAATATATATATATATTTAACATTTATGTCAAGGAGCTAAAACTCTGACACAAAAGTCTCATCACCTAAAAACAAGTACAGCAGGAACAAAGGTTCCAGTTAATAATAAAGGACTTTACACCATAACATACACAAGTCTCTCTAACAAGTTTCAATATCACACAAGGTTATAGAGAGGAAAAACTCAAACTGAGAGATGGACTGATATTGTACCCCATTATTAATTAATCTGAAATGACCAAAAAATTCTATATTTTCTCTCAAAGTATTTTTATTTATCTTTTCAAATGAAACCACATCTGACTTCCCCCTCCAAATAAGAATGAAATTAAAGTAAACTCGTGTACAGTGATGACCAGGGTAGAGAATACTAACATAATAAATCACTTACCAATGCACGTGGGTTGAGCTGACCATCCACTTTGAAGACATGTAATTGATCCTGAAGTTTTACCATCTGCTGTTACATATCCCGGTTTACAGTTAAATTGTATTTCTTTATTTAAGGGATGTGTAGTGCCAGGTTCAGAAATAAATCCATTCTTAATTTCTATATCTGATTTTGAACATGTTTCTAAACAGGAGAAAGCATAAGGAAAAGACAAGCATATGTTCACTAAACATTTGTATAAGGACTCAAATGATATAAAAATATGAAAAATGAGTCCTTGGTAAATAAAAACTGGAAAAAATTCTAATCATCCAAGTTCTTATGTCAGAGAAAATTGGCTATGAGTTACCAAAGACATTAAATCTAGATGATTTATTCAAATTTGAATAAAAGAACTCCAAATAATTCAAATTTTCTACAAATTAATGCCAATTTTGTTAAACTTGAAAAAAGAATACCTGAGAAAGCAGTACTTACTATCACACGTGGGTGTATCAGACCAACCATCGTTACCACAAACTATGGAGCCTGTGGCGCGTCCACCTCTGCTTTCATATCCATCACGGCACACGTAGTCCAATTTGTCATTGAGCTTAAACCATGTGCTACTACTTTTGGCTCTGGCATTCTCAAACACAGGCATTTCACAAGATTCTGAGGCATAATAGAATGGAAGATTTCATTTCTGATATTATTTGATGGACAATCTAAATGAGTAAATCTCATCCCAAGGGAGAAGAAAGCTTTATCAATTAGTATGTGCTGATAAGTTAAGTATCCTATGAAAATAACGTAAGAATACCAGTGATAAGTCATTGTCCTGAAGTAGTTACTGAAAAAAAAAGTTTCTACATAGCATTTGTCTCATCACTTAAACTCTCTGAAAAATTTAAGAATATTTTTCTCAATTATACATATGCATTTATCCCATGCTAGTAATAACATAGGCCAATATGTTATTAACAAATGAGAATAGCAGTTTGTGAATTAATATGCCAAACTTCTTAGCAGTCATTACATATATACCAGGTAAAAATGGATTAGTTGAAGAAAAAGATTAACTTTCACAAATGCAAGTAAATTATTACATATTCTATAAAACATTGCTTTAAGATATACTAATTTTTAAACATTATATGATGACTTTGCTTGCTCAAATATTTTCCTAAATGTTTTGTATTTTTTTCAATTATTGACTTTGAATATAGACTTCTATTGCTTATAATGAGTTATAAGAGAGTAAAATATTAAAATATAGTCTCAATTTTCACTAATATTATGCTAGAATGATGTTAATAAAAGTTTAAGTAATTTACCTCAAATTTTGTAATGTGTTATTTGGCCAGCTAGCTTAAACTTTCAAAAAAGTAAAGCAAAACTGGATTAGTAAAAACATTATTGAATAGAGACATTTTCTCTTCTATAATGAGAGCATTATAATGAATAACTGATCACAATTTAGTATAAAATGAGTTTGATATGGGGGCAACTTTTATAATTTTTTCTTTGACTAGTGCCCATATCAAGCATAGAGATTGAAAACAATAGAAATGGATATTTTAAATATTGTCTTCACTTAAATTCAATATGTTAATTATCATTTCAAAAACATCACTGTGTGGCTTTAGTAGAACAAGATAACCTGAACAAATTGTTGCTAGAAAATCATCAAAAACCTCTATGTAGCGGGACAGGAAAATCTTTCAACACAGTAAAATTTGGTACTATCTAGAAGTGTTTCTCAGTCTCCCCTAATTAGATGTTTAGGAAGATTTTCGAAGGGAGAGTATTTTTCAGAAGTGGACCTATCCTATAGTATCAAACATACAATTTACATATAATGCAAAATTATGTATTATGGAACCGTATCTTCCCTTAAAAATATAACTTTGGGACCAGTCCAGGCTGTAGTGATTAAGTTTCCATGCTCCACTTCAGTGGTCCAGGGTTTACAGGTTCAGATCCTTGGCATGGACCTACGCACTGTTCATCAAGCCATGCTGTTGCAGTGTCCCACATACAAAATAGAGGAAGATTGGCACGGATGTTAGTTCAGGTACAGTCTTCCTCAAGAAAAGAAAATATATATATATATATATAACTTTCATGTGGCCGGCCCTGTGGCGTAGTGGTTAAGTTCGGCACGCTCTGCTTCAGCAGCCCAGGTTCCCAAGTTTGGATCCCAGCCAGGGATCTATACCACTCATTAGTCATGCTGTGGCAGTGACCCACATATAAAGTAGAGGAAGAGGCACAGATGTTAGCTCAGAGCTAATCTTCCTCAGGCAGAAAAAAAAGAAGAAAGTTTGGCAACAGATGTTAGCTCACGGTGAATATTCCTCAGCAAAAAACATATACATATTTAACTGTTAACTTTCATGTCGAAGAGCAAAGACTGTGACATAAAAGTCTCATCACCTAAAAACAGGTTGAACAGTCACAATGATCACAGCTCATAATAAACGGCTCTATAACAGAACACGCATATGCTTCCTAAGAAGTTTTGGAATCAGGGCAGTATTTAAAGAGGAAAAATTTGACTGAAAGATGGATGGATATTCTACCCAACAAGTGATTACTCTTAAAAGACAAAATATTGTGTATTTTTCTCAAAGCTTTTTTATTTTTCTTTTCAAATAGAAAAGATTTGATCCTCAGATTCCCCACAAAAGAAGAATTAAACTTTTCCACAATGATAATGAATATTAACATAATCGATTACTTACTAATGCACGTGGGTTGAGTTGACCATCCACTCTGCAAACATGTAATTGATCCTGAGGTTCTACCATCTGCTGTTACATATCCTGGTTTACACTTATATTGTGCTTGTTTGTTTAAGGAATACGCAAATTTAGACGCAGAAACAAATCCATTCTCAATTTCTACATCTGATTTTGGACATGTTTCTGAAAGAGAGAAAGTGCAGCAATAGAGCAGCATACGCCATTTGTAAATGAAAATCTGAAAAAATCCTAATATTTCAACTTCTTGTGTCAAAGATATTAAGCTATAAGTTTCCAAACATATTAAATCAAGATAATCTATTCAAATTTGGGGGGGAGAAAGTAAGACTTAAAATATTCAGAATCCTTTCTATGAAATTTTTAGAAATCTATGGGTCTAATGGATCTGGAATTCTACAGCGTGCCAGAGCTCTCCTAGCAAATGATCCTTTCTGGGACTTGTTTTCAATATTCTCCAGTTTGGATCTCTTAAGCAACCCCAGATTTCAATTAGGGTATCTCAGATCAGGTGATGATCTTAGAGAATTTCTACGACATCTGCCACAGTCTTTGGCTCTGAGAAATTAAAATGTAGGTCAACATAATAGAGTGCTAAAAAACCACATGGATACAAGGAATTCAATGAAGATGACAAAGATCAACACATTCATTGATCTTCTAAGGTCAAAATGATGATAACTCAAATTATGTATAACAACTTGAAACAGTAAAAGTAAATTCTATCAGTTACTAGTTCTCCTCACAGAACTCAGCATCGTTTATTAAATAATCCATGGATAAAGAAGAAATCAAAAGGGAAAACATTAAGTAATTCAAATTGAATGATGATAAAAACCTGTTAAATAAAATTTTTTGAAAGACACTAAGGTATCACTGAGAGGGAATTTTACCATTAAATAACTATAATAGAAAAGAATAAAAAATGAAAACAATAGTTGTTTCTACTTCAGGAAATTAGAAAACAAGCTCACAAAAGTCAACATCAGTATGAATTTGGAAAAAATAAAGAGAAATTAGTAAGATTTGGAAATATAATACCTAGACCACTCCCTCTCCCCACAGACAAACCGAATTAAGAGCCACAGGTGTTCTGATTACACTTATTAGAAGTTCAAGACCTGGTTGAGAGATTACTGCACACCAAGCAAGGGAGAAAATGCCAACATCTGATCTGATAGGAGAAAATGAGATACACTCTCATCATAAACCCCACCCATGGGACAGCACCATCCAGCTGGGAGGGAATGCCCAACTCCCAGCAACTCTTCGAGGAGCAAAGGGTTCGAAGCACACATCTAGTGCCCTGAGTTTCCAACTGTTACTCCAGGGTCTGGCTTCCAACTTGCCTGTCTCTGGGAGTCAGAGGGCCCAGCATTGGTTAGTCTCAGGGCACTACAGAGAACAAAGGGTCACTTACGAATGGGTGTGTGAGCACTTCCCACAATTCACCCCCCAGCTGGTGCAGAGTGAGCAGGTGACAAAGCTCAGCCCCAGTTTCTCCCTGGAAGGAGTTTTGTTGCACAGCTAAACCCCCAACTTTTCCAGCTGCTGCCTGAGGGATTGGCTTCTAATTAACACATCTCTGAGAGCTGAGGAAAACCACCACTGACTAGATGCTCAGGGGCTCCAGAGAGCAAAACATTGGTTTCAAACAGCATGCGATCTGAAGGAGACTGCATGCATTTGCCACACACAGCTCCTCTCCCTAGCTCAGGGTAGAGGGAGCGGAATTAGAAACTCCAGCTCCCAGCTTCACCCTGAGTAGAGAAGGAACTGGACCACACAGCCAGCACCTCAACTTATCTGGCTACTACTGGAGGGACTGGGTTCTGTCTCACCTATCTCAGGACACTGATGGGACTTGGCTTCCTCTACACTCCTGGGGAATGTGAAGTACAAAGACTGCAGGTTGGATGAGCACAGAGTTTTGGGAGGTACCTTGCTGAGCCGACTGATGACTGATTCCTCAACAATCAAAAAGACCTGTGTGCTCACTCTTACCACTTTTATTCCATAGAGTACTGGAAGTCCAAGGCAGAATATTTAGTCAAGAAAAAGATGTGAAAGGGGTTTAGAGGCACATGTGTAGGGTAACAGATGGCAACTAGACTTTTGCTAGTGAACATGAAGTAGTCTATACTGAAGCTGAAATATTATGATATACACCTGAAATTTATATAATATAAAACAATGTGACCGCAATAATTTTTTTCGAGTAGCAGAAATAAAAGGAAAGAAAAGACACTCAAATCAGGAAGGAAGAAGTAAAATTATGGCTGTATGCTGATGCCAAGATCATTTATGTAGAAAATCCTAAAGACTGAACATTGAAGCTATTAGAAATAGTGTCCTTTCTCCTCATTTTCCCATGCACCACTCAATCTCAGATGACTTTGCCTCACATTTCAAACAGAGAAACCATCAGCTCCTGCTTCTGCCCAGTATTACATTTGCACATCCAGTTTCCTTCCTTCCTCCTCTGAAAAGTTGGAAGTAGCCCTGTGGCCACCAAACCCTACCACTTGCACAGGAGCTCTGGTTCCCTTTCCCTCCCACCTTCACAGGAAACTATCCACCTCATGCATTCGATTTCTGCCTGTTTCTCTCTCTGCTCCATCCTCCTCAGGATTCAGTCTACTCTCATGTCTCTCATCTTAAAAACAATATTCCCCTCAGTGCATAATTTCCTCTAACAATATTTTGAATTTCCTATTCCCTGTCATAGCCAAGATTCTTGAAAGAGATATGTGAACATGCTGTATGAAATTTCTCTCTAATCATTTTTCTTCAGTAAATCCTATTTAGGATCCGCCCCATGTACTCCATCCAAACTGTTTCTGATACAACTATTGTTGGCTTTGATGTAGCCAAACCTACTGCATTTTTACACTCTTCTAACTGGACATGACAACTGAATTGTAAACATTTACCACTCAAGTTATAATAAAAATGTAATGAAATTACAATTTCCATGAATGTATGCATGGCAGACACTGTGGCAAAAAGTTTTATATGGATAATTTAGTCCAAAAATCAAAACAATCTTTTGAAATATTGTGACAATTGTAAATCTTAAAACACTTTATTGATAAGGAGGAGTGAACAAAGCTTCACACAGGCTTGGTTGTTGACCTAACGTACTAACGTACACGCTTAGCAAGTGGTGGAACTGGAAGTAGAACCTGGCCAGGCTGACTCCAAAGCCTTCATTATTAATCATTCTGGTTGATTTCCTATTACTTCAGTCATTTTCTTCTCTCTATGTTTATGACTACATCCACGCCTATACTTTTTTCTCCAGATTCTCTGGGTCCTCTTTTGTTCTGTCAACTGTGCTGTCTAGTCCTCTTCTGTCTGACACCTAAATGTTGGAGCACTTCAGGGCCCTGTCCTGAGCTCTCTGTTCCTTTCATTCTATATTCTTTTCCAATTTGATAACGTCATTTATATATGATGATAATCCCACATCTATATCTCTTGGCTAGACCTATACATCTAACTCTGTAGCTTACATACACCATTTTGATTGTCCGTGGGCAGCTCAACCATAATGTGTTCAAGTCAAAACTTGTGATGATCCTTCCAAAGTGCTCTCTGTCCTGCCAGAACCACGTCACCAAAAGGCATTGTCATTTACTTGATTCCTTAGAAATATCAAAGCAAATAAATAGGTGAGTCCCTTGACTTCTTACTCTTTCTCATGCCCAACATTTTGTAACATTACCAGTGCTTTCTATCACCAAAGTATATCCCAAATCTGTCCTCTGCTCTGCATCTCTCAGCCATCACCTTACCGCAATCTGCACCCTCTCTCACCCTACATGGACTCCGGAATCTTCTCTTGTCCGCCACGAGCACAGCAGATAGGAGAAAAAGAAAACCTTTCAAACATCCAAAGGAAATTATGTCATTCCTTTCCGTTAAGTCCCTATATGGCTTTCCATCAATCATAAAATTAATCCAAAGCCTAACATGTCCCACAATAACCTAGATAATCTTTCTTTGCCTCCTGTCCAGGTTCAGCTCATAAAATTCTCCCACATCTTGAGCCGAATCCACTCACCCTGATATTTCCCAAATATTATTTCATTTTCAATCTTTGCACATACTGTTCCTTTGGCTTGGAACACTCTACTTCCACTCAGTTTTCCAGAAATTCAAGCCCTACTTCTAACCCTGGAAAACAGACAGCTGATTGGCAAACAGAAAAGAGTGTCATGGAATAGTCCACAGCATCTGTTCAAAGTTGGGAAATAAAAAGTTCCTCTCAGGACCTGCAGAAATGAACAGAAAAATGAGAGGGATAAAGCAGAAACTCAAGGGTAATATAGCTGAGTAAGTTGTAAAAAGCTATAATTTGGCAATAAATGCCCAGTTTTAAATAATAGGAATGCTTGAATTTAGAATAACGACAACAATTATACATTAATCAAAAAACTTCGATGCACATGGCCCATAGGAAACATTACTTTATTATACAGTGTTAAAGGTAGACTATTATCTTTGGGCTTCAAAGCTCCCTCTCCTCCAAGTTTATCAGTTGGACATAGTTTTATTTTAATCATTCTTCCATAAAATACTCCAGATAACTCAAATTTTTCACAAATTAGTGTCAATTTTGTCAATCCTGAAAAAATGAATACTTGAGAAAATAGTACTTACTATAACATGTGGGTGTATCAGACCAACCATCATTACCACAGACTATGGAACCTGTAGTACGTCCATCCCTGCTTTCATATCTCTCACGGCACACATAGTCCAAGTTGTCATTGAGCTTAAACCAAGTGCTATCACTTTTGGCTCTGGCATTCTCAAATACTGGCATTTCACAAGATTCTAATGTATAACAGAATGGAAGGTTTCATTTCTAATAGTATTAAATGGACAATCTAAATGAGTAAGTCTCATCCTAAGGGAGAAAAAAGCTTTATGAATTAGTACATGCTGATAAATTAAGTGTCATAAGAAAATAACCTAAGAATACCAGTGATAAATCATTGTCATGAAAAAGTTACTCAAAAAAAGGTTCTATGTAGCATTTTTTGCATCACTTAAATTCTCTGAAAAATTTATTTTTAGAATATTTTTCTCCATTCAATTATACATAAGCATTTATCCCATGCTAGTAATAACATAGGACAATATGTTGTTAACGAATTGGAATAGCATTTTGTGATTAAGACGCCAAACTTATTAGCCGTCGTGACATATACGTCAGGGGAAAATGGATTCATTGAATAAAAAGGATTAATTTTCAACAATGCAAGTAAATTTTTAAATATTCTATAACACTTTTTTTTTTTTTTTTTTAATAATTTTTTTTTTTTTTTTTTTTTTAGATTTTTTTATTTTTTTCCCCTTTTTCTCCCCAAAGCCCCCCGGTACATAGTTGTATATTCTTTGTTGTGGGTCCTTCTAGTTGTGGCATGTGGGACGCTGCCTCAGCGTGGTCTGATGAGCAGTGCCATGTCCGCGCCCAGGATTCGAACCAACGAAACACTGGGCCGCCTGCAGCGGAGCGCGCAAACTTAACCACTCGGCCACGGGGCCAGCCCCTATATAACACTTTTTTTAAACATACTATTTTTTCAACCTCATATGCTGATTTTGCTTTCCCAAATATTTTCCTAAATGTTTTGTATTCTTTTCACTTATCGACATTGAATTTAGGGATAGTTCTATTATTTATAATGAGTTAAAAGAGAGTAAAATGTTAAGAAACAGTCTCAATTTTCACTAATATTATACAAGAATGATGTTAATAAAAGTTTAAATAATTTACCTAAAGTTTTATAATGTGTTATGTACCCAGCTAGCTTAAATTTTCACAAAAATAAAGCAAAACTGTACTAGAAAAAAATGTATTGAATGGAGACATTTTCTCTTCTATGATAACAGTGTTATAATGGGTAACTGATGACAGTTTAGCATATAATGAGTTTGATATGAGGGCAACTTTCATCATTTTTTATCTTTGGCTAGTGCCCACAGCAAGCATAGAGATTGAAAAACATGAAATTAAATCAATAGATATGGATATTTTTGATATCCTCTTCACTTAAAGTGGATATGTTAAGTAACATTTCAAAAAATATCTGTGTGACTTTAAAAAAGTCACTGTGTGACTTTAGGATAATAAGAAAAACTGAGCAAATTGTTCTTAGAAAAATCTTCCTTAATTTCTTGGTAGTGTGACACGGAACTCTTTCCACACAGCAAAATTTGATACTATCTAGAAGTGTTTCTCAGTCTCCACTTATTAGATGTTTAGGAAGATTTTCGAAGGGAGAGGATTTTTCAGAACTGCACCCATTCTACAGTATCAAACATAAAAGTTGCATAATCCAAGATTATGCATTATGGACCCATATTCTCACTAAAAATATGACTTTCAGGTCTAGGAGCAAAGACTCTGACATAAAAGTCTCATCACCTAAAAACAAGTTGAACAGGCACAAGGATCTCAGCTAATAATAAAGGACTTGACACCAGAACACACATAAGTCTCCTAACCAGTTTGGAAATCACAGGAAGTCTTAAAGAGGAGAAACTTACCTGAAAGATGGACTGATATTCTACCACACAAGTGATTAATCATAAAAGGCAAAATATTATATATTTTTCTCAAAGCTTTTTTATTTATCTTTTCTGATGGAATCACTTCACACCCCCCACCAAAGAAGAATTAAATTAAATTTTTGTATAATGATAATCATAATAATGAACACTAACATAATCAATTACTTACTAATGCATATGGGTTGAGCTGACCATCCACTTTGCAGACATGTAATTGACCCTGAGGTTTTACCATCTGCTGTTACATATCCTGGTTTGCAGTTAAATTGCATTTCCTTATTCAAGGGATATGTAGTGTCAGATTCAGAAATAAATCCATTCTTAACTTCTATATCTGATTTTAAGCATGTTTCTGAAAAGGAGAAAGCATAAAGAATAGACAAGCATGCATCATTTGCAAATGAAAACCTGGAAAAATTCTAATCATTTTAGTTTTTTGTTAGAGATAATAAGGTATGAATTTCCAAAGATATTAATTAAAGATAATCTCTTCAAATTTTGGGGGGACAAAACAAGATTTAAAATATTCAGAATGAGGGGGCCAGCCCCATGGTCAAGTTGGTGTGCTCCGCTTTGGCGGCCCAGAGTTTCACAGGTTCGATCCTGGGTGCAGACAGGGCACCACTCACCAGGCCACACTGATGTGGCATCCCACATGACACAACTAGAAGGACCCACAACTAAAATATACAACTATGTACTGCGAGGATTTGGGGAGAAAAAGCAGAAAAAAAATTTAAAATCAATTCTAAGAAATTATAGAAATCTGTTGGCCTAATGGATCTGGAATCCTGTAGCAAGCCAGAGTCCTCCTAGCAATGGGTCTCTCCTGGGACTAATTTCATTGTTTTCTAGTTTAGTTCTCTTAAGCTACCCCAGAACTCTGTTGACCATCTGGGTTATCTTAGATCAGGTGATGATCTCAGAGAATATTCTGCCATATCTACCACTGTCTTTGGCTCTGAGAATCTGAGAATTTGAAATGTTGGTCATCATGATAGGGTGCTGAAAACTACATGGCTACAGAGTTCAAGGAAGGTTACAAAGATCAATGCATTCATTGATCTTCCAAGTCCAAAATGATGATTTCCCAAATAAGGTATAACTTCATTTGAAACAGTAAAAGTAGACTTCTGTCAGTTACTAGATTTCTTTACAGAGGTCTGGTTCATTTATTAAATAACCCATAGATAAAGAAAAAATCATAAGGGAAGTCATTAAATATTTTGAATCGAATGATAATAAAAAGATGTTAAATAAAATGTTGTAAAATGACACTAAGGTAGTGATGACAAGAAAATTTTACCATTAAGCAGCTATAAGAGAAAAGAACAGACTGAAAATCAAGAATTGTTTCCACTTTAAGAAATTAGAAAAAGAAAAGCACACAAAAGCCAGTATAAGTATAAATTTGAAAAAAATAGACAGACATTAGTAAGATGGTAGAATAGGATGACTCTCCCTCTCCCTGTCCCATAGGCACGCCATATTAACAGCTACAGATGTGTCAATTCCCTTTACTAGAGATACAAAAGCTGGTGGAGAGATTCCTGCTCGCCAGGTGAATGAGAAAATGACAACATCCTAACTGGTAGGAGAAACAGAGATATACTTTCATCATAAACACCACCCCTAGCACAACATCATCCACTTGGGAAGAAATACCCAACTCCCAGCTTCTCCTTGAAGAACAAAGAGTTGGAGCCACATATCTAGTGCCCCATGTTTCCAACAGCTACTTCAGGGTCTGGCTTCTGACTTGCCTGTCTCTGGGACTAGAGAACCCAGCATTTCCTAGTACCTCCTGGGGACTACACGGGACAGAATGTCAGTTATGAATCGGTGTGCGTGCACTTCTCATAGTTCATCCCCAGCTGAGTGCAGAATTAGCAGCTCTCAGTTTCTCCCTGGAAGTAGCTCGGTCACACAGCTAGAAGGAGTCAGACTTCACATCTTTTCCAGCTGCTGCCTGAGAGATTGGCTTCTAATTAACCCAACTCTGAAAGATGAGGGAGACCACAATTGTCTGGATGCCTAGGAGCTCCAGAGAACAAAACATTGGTTTCAAAGAGCATACAGTTTGAGGGGACTGCATGCATTTACCACAGCTCCTCTTTCCAGCTCAGTGCAGAGTGAGTGAAATGTGAAACTCCAGCTCAGAACTTCACCCTGAGTAAAGAAGGAACGGGACCAAACATCTAGCACCTCAACTTATCTGACTACTACTGGAGGGACTGGCTACTATCTTGCCTATCTCAGGACACCGATGGGACTTGGCTTCCTCTAGAGTCCTGGGGAAAGCTAAGTACAAAGACTGCAGGTTGGATGAGCACAGAGTTTTGAGAGCACCCCAGAATCTCTGGCTGAGCTGATTGAAGATTGATTGCTCGATAATCAAAAAGAAGACAATTGTGTCCATTCTCACCACTTTTATCCCATAGAGCACCAGAAGTCCTAGCCAGAGGAATTAGCCAAGAAAAAGGTGAAAGGTGTAAAGGGGCACATGTATATGGCGATAGATGGAAACTAGACTTTTGGTGGTGAACATAAGGTAGTTTCTACAGAAGTAGAAACCTACTGATATACCCCTGAAATTTATATAATTTTATAAACCAACGTTACCTCAATTAGAAAACTTTAAAATAACAATATAAAAAATAAAGAAAGGCCTCCAAATTGTGAAGTGAGAAGTAAATTTATCTCTGTGTGCGGATGAAATAATAACACACGTAAAAAATGCTAAAGATTAAATGAAAAAGCTGTTAGAACTAATGAACAATTTCAACAAAGTGACAGCATACAAAATCAACATACAAAATCAGTAGCATTTCTCTACACTGACCACAAACTATCTGAAAACAGAATTAACAAAACAATCCTATTTACATTAACAACAAAAAAATATATACTACACAGGAATAAACTTAACCGAATAAGTGAATGATGTGTGCACTGAAAATTATAAAACATTGATGAAGGAAATTAAAGAAGACAGATAAGTGGAAATACACCCAGTGTCCCTGGATTGGAGTCTTCAATATTTTTAAATGTCCATGCCACTCTAAATGACCTATGGATTCAATGCAATCCTGATCAAAAGCTCAACAGCATTCTTTACAGAAATACAAAACAAACCTAAAATTAATATGTAAATACAAAAAAACCTCAAATAGCCAAAGCAATCTTGAGCAAGAGCAAAGCAGAGGACATCACACTTCCTGATTTTGAACTATATTATAAAGCTATATTAATTGAAACAGTATGATACTGGCATAAAAACAGATAAAAGATCAGTGGAAAAGGATAGAGAGCCCAGAAATAAATACACATATATACGGTCAACTGATCTTCATCAAGGATGCCAAGAACAAACAATGGGGAGAGAATGGTATTTTCAACAAATAGTACTATGAAAACTAGATATCCACATGCAGAAGAATAAAATTGAGACCTTATCTTACACTATACACAAAAATCAACTGAAAATTATTGTATTGCTGTCAATTTCTCCTCTTCAAACCTGTCGATATTTGCTTTACGTATTTAGGATTTCTGATGTGGTGTGTGCGTATCTTTAAAATTGTTATATCTTCCTTGTGAATTGACTCCTATGTTATTATATAATGACTTTCTTTGTGTCTAGACACAGTTTTATATATACAGCCAATTTTTTTGATATAAGTATAGCCACTCCTGCATTCTTTTGGTTGCCATTTGCATGACGTCATTTTTCCATTCCTTCACTTTTATTCTATTTGTGTCTTTAAGTCCAAAGTGAGCCTTTTATAGATAGTATATCATTTGTTCTTGTTTTCTTAATCATTCAGATACTCTATTACTTTTTTAATTAATTTATTTATTTTTGAGGATGATTAGCCCTGAGTTAACATCTTCTGCCAGTCCTCCTCTTTTTTGCTGAGGAAGACTGGCCCTGAGCTAACGTCCGTGTCTATCTTCCTCTAATTGATATGTGGGACACCTACCACAGCGTGGCTTTTTCCCAAGCAGTGACATGTCCGCACCCAGGATCCGAACCGGCGAACCCTGTGCTGCCGAAGCAGAACATGGACACTTCAGTGCTGCGCCACCGGGGCCAGCCCCAAGTCTTTTATGTTTCTATGGATTCAGCCCTCTATGTCTTTTGATTGGATAATTTAATCCATTTACATTTAGAGTAATCATTGATAGGTAGGGACTTACTAATGCCATCTAATTAATTGTTTACTAGCTGTTTTGTAGTTCTGTTGTTCCTTTCTCCTTCTCTTCCTGTATTCCTTTGTGAATAGATGATTCTCCATAATGTTATTCTTTGATTTCTTTCTCTTCATCTTTTGTGAATCTACTGTACATTTTCCTTTGTGCTTACCATGAGCTTACATTACAAAATATCATAGATTGAACAGTCTAGTTTAAGTTGACAACAAATAGCACACACAAACTCTATCCTTTTATTGCCTTCCTCACATTTTATGGTATTGTGTCACAATTTGCATATTTTTTATGAAGTATCCATTAACAAATTATTGTATGTATACTTATTTTTTAAACTTTTATCCTTTAACCTTTATATTGGAATTAAGTGACTTATACACCACTGTATTAAAGCACTGGAGTGTTCTAAATTTGACTATATCTTTACCTTTCCCGGTGTATATCTTTGTATATTTTTATAGTAATTAATGTTCCTCCATTACAACTTGAAGCACTCCTTTCAGCATTTCTTGTAAGGCGGGTCTAGTGTTGATGAATTCCCTAAGCATTGATTTGTATGGTAAGTCTTTATCTCTCCTTTATTTCTCTAAGACAGCTTTGCTGAATAAAGCATTCCTGGTTGGCAGTTTTTTTATTTCATCACTTTAAATATATCATCTCACTTTCTCCTGGCATGAAGCTATTGATAAATCTCCTGATATCCATATGGGGGTTCCCATGACTGTGAGGTACTTTTGTCTCTATTTCTGATTTAAAATTATCCCTGTTTTTTATTTCAGCCTGTTTTGTGAGCATGTGTCTTGTAAAAGATCTCTTTGGGTTGAATCTGTTTGGGGACTTAGGAGCTTCTTGATTTTGACAGTCCATATATCTTCCCAGATTTTGTAAGATCTCAGCCATTATTTCTTTAATAAACTTTGTGCCCCTTTCTCCAGTTTTTCTCATTCTGGAACTCCCTTAATGCCTAAAATGTTTCCCTTCATAATCTCTCATAATTTAGGTAACCTACCTTCACTCTGTAATTATTTTTCCTTTGTTCTTCTCTGAATGGAAAATTTCAAATAACCTGTCTTTTACCTCACATATTGTTTCAACTTGCTATGTATATATCAAGAATTTTTTGTATCAATTCATATACATTTGGAGAAAACAAGATCAAATAGGTCCATTCGCAAAACAAGAAGTTGATATAAAAGTTTTACCACAGTTAATATAGATGAGTCTTAGCAAATCATAAACATATTGATTCTCAGACCAGTTTACTTACTGACACCAATGCATTTGGGAGGAGGGGACCAGTCATTCTCCGTACATGTCATTAAGTTCTCCTCATTTGGAAAACTGTAGCCAGAATGGCATTCAACTTTTACAGATTCACCTTGTAAATAGTTTTTTCCATAAGGTGGATACTTTCCATGTTCCAAATAATTAAAATTACATTGTCCTAAGGATGATAAAAATGATACAGGAAAATTTTTTTAAAATCCATAAACTTGGTCAAAATAGTAAATTTATAATTATCTTTTCAATATTTAAATTAGAATGGACAAGCATTCAAAAATAATGTATAACTTAAGAAAAACTAAAATTACTACCAACTGTCCCTTGAAAAAGAAAAATTAATATTCTGTATCATTTATCTTTGATTTTATTATTAAAATATGTATAAATGATATAGATATTCCTGTAAAACCTCTATCTTTATTTCTCATGAGATTTTCTTGAAGACCTCCTCATGAAAATAAAGATACACATTGGTATTTTTGCTCATAGAACTCATTCTTTAGCCCTGTTTTTTCAAACAAGACTTAACTGTATTCTCTCATTTGTTTTTCTCTCTCCACTCTTAGAAATACTGATACACATACAATTATAAGGAGGTTTACTTACGGAGGCATGGTACTTCTGGTTCCCATCCTTTTGGTCTGCAATAAATATAATCCCAGCTATATCTTGAAGGAGTCACAAAATTGTTATCACAGTAATAGGAATAATAATGTCCTACAGATACTGGAAACTTTGGCTTATAATAGTGTTCATAGTAGAGCCTTCCATGTTTTATGTCTGGAAAATCACAAGTCTTCACTTTCAAGAAAAAACATAAGAAAACCCTTATAAATAATGTTTTATTTTAATAAAAAACAAATTAGAGATGAGTTGTTTCATTGATGAATTATACTGTCTTATCTGCATAATTATCCTCACTGCGTTAGAATTTCTAGGACAAGAAAATGTATAAAATTCAGATGACTGAGGTATGTGAGGAAATCCTTGGTAATGAAGATAAAATTGTGTCTTTGGGGTCATATGATATATAAACTTGTATCAAGACTCTCCAGGAAGAAAATTATATGGACCTATTTAACAAATTCTCCTTGAGTACGTATATCCTACCCATGGTTCATTAAATGAGCATCTCGGTTGAGAGATGAAAGTACTGATTTTATCACTCAGCTCATCTGTCTTCTTTTCCATTCTCATCAGAAATCAGAGCATTGCCTTTTCTTCTCAGATCAACTCAATGTAGGGAGATAGCTAGGGTTTAGGGGTGGGTTTTTTGGATTAACATTCATTAGCTTATTTTCTACTTATTGGAAACAATGTAAGAAACGCAGAGAAGCACAAAAATTTTCCATCTATCACATCACACAGAAAGATAGTATTCTTATTCATGCCTCACGCCAATCATGGAGGCAAGTTTTCCTTTATTTAACTAGAGCGATGAAAGTAGGAATAATGGTTAATATTCACATCGCTAAGATTATGGTAAATATTTGATTGTTTATTTCTAATTTTAATTGGAGAATGAGATGGTTTTTGTTTGCTTTTTTTGCTTTTAGTGTGTGTGTGTGCTGAGGAACATTAGCACTGAACTAACATCTGTTCCCAATCCTCCTTTTTTTTCACCTGAGGAAGATTCCCCATGAGCTATCATCTGTGCCAATTTCCTCTAGTTTATGTGTGGATCATCACCGCAGCATAGCTGACAAATGGTGTAGGTCCATGCCTGGGATCTCAAGAACACGGGTCCCTGAAGGTCAGCATGCCAAAATTAACCACTAAGCCACAGGTCTGGCCTGAGATGTTTTTAAATATGTTTTACAAATATTTTTAAATGAGGTATAATATAATTATATTTTATTCAATTATTCTAATCTATTGAATAATTTTAACACATATATTTAAGTGTTATGTTGTTTATAACACACATCTATATAATATTTTCCAGAAAAATATGCTCTTTTCACTGAATGATTTAGAAACAATCTAGAACTTTTATTACCAAATAAATATAAGTTTTTTCCATGGTATATGATGCTATTACAAGAAAATTTATGCAAAATGTTAAAAGAAAATTCCAACACACACACACGTTGATATACACACACAAAATGTTCATTACCAACTTCATCTTCCTTAAGTTCACTGATCCATTTTCATTTTTGATAGATAAGAGAACCTTTTCAAGTGGTTTCTACAGACTTGTTATGTGGATTATAAACTTTGAATCCTTGCATATACTAATGTCCTCTTTTAACAAAGATTTATGAATGATAACTTCTCTAGGTATAGCTTTTTGAGCTAAAGTTCATAACTCTCATCATTGATAGATGCTTTCCCCACTTTTGTGAAGCTTCCAATATTGAGATTAAAAGGCTAATTTATGCTCATTCTTTTTATGTAACATTCTAGGTTTTTTCCCCCCATCATTTTTTGGAGATTGAGAGTAGTTTCTCTTCACTCTTGGATGAATTTCGTCATGATATGCCAAGATGTTTGTCATTTAACAACAATTCTACTTTGGACAACCTTGAGTCTTTGGACTTGTAAGAACTGAGTGTTAAGGAACTCAATTAAATTTTCCATTAAATTATAGAGGAGAAAATTGAACCCTTGTTGTCTGATTTCAGAACAAGTATGGTTATCCACCTCATTATAATGTTTCAAATGATACGAAATATGTAAAATAGTCCAGTGAGATTTCTTTTCAAAAGGTACACGAAGGGGGTATAATTAAAATTAGGGGTTATAATTGTCACAGTTAAATGTAGGCACACTTAAACAAGTCTTTACCATCTAACAATATCAATATTGAGGCAAATATAATATTTCATATGTGGTCTGATCAGCACTGACATTGGCAGGACGCAGAACAGCCTCATTCCACCTGTTACACTTCCACCAACGCAGACTGTGTTCTCATTAGCAGTTACAGTGGTTCCCTCAATATTTTGACTCAAATCGATCTCAAAATTGAATAAAATATTCACTGATTTTTAAAAACTGTTTCTAATCTGTCTATAGTTATGCAGCTAATTCCTTTGACCCAAGCCCAGGAACTTACAGTTATTACTGCTAAATGTCATGTTATTAGATTCAACCTAGTATATACGATTCTTTTTGAAAGGTGAATCTGTACTCATGAGATTCACTATCATTATGCCCTGTATCATTCCAGTTGTGAATTTGTACTGCATTTCCCCTAAATCATTAAACTAGTTGAGGAAACACAAGAGTAATGGAGTAGGACTGAGAACAAAGTCTACAAAACCCACAAAGCTATCGCTAACTGAGAAACCATTTATAAAGGGCCCATATGTGTGGACTCACCCTCCCCAGGGCCGAGTACAGAGGGAGCCAATTAAAAAGTGCCAAGATCTTCTGTGGAAGAGGCTTATTTGCCTGTCATAAAGCATTGGCTTGAGGGGCAGACATTTAATTTAATTCACATCTAGAGGCCTACTCCATTACTCTCAGGTGCAGGTCTTAAAATTGGGGTACTGAATGTAGAGTTCAAACCTTTTTCTCCTCAGGGAGATGCTTGGAGTTTTGAACTCCTTCCTGACTGTGGGGCACTGTGCTGGGGGTGAAGTTTGTGGTGAGATGTGTCCAGTCTCTCCTACCCAATTTGATGTGAGTTTTTCCTCATTTGCCTGATGTGTAGGAGTCACTCAGCTAGCTTTTGTTTTTTTCCCAGAGGAAATTATTCTGTACGTAACTGTAAATATGATGTGTCTGTGGGCAGAAGTGAGTTCAAGATCCTCCTACATTGCCATCTTGAGTGACTTCCATAAGGAAAATATTTAACCATGTTTATGATCTATCATTACGGAAATGATAGATCAGCCCAACTGTATCTGAATCTCAGCAAAGTTATTCCAAAGGGATCTTCTGAAGTTCTCACGGACAAGATGGGGAAATGGATGGTTAGATGGATTATAGATAGTTTGCAATTCTGTTAAATAAACCCCTCTGATTCTCAAATGCAGGACTTTGTTCTCAGGCCTACTCTATTACTCTTCAAAGATGGAGGCCAGTGGACACCATCGTGTGCTCTTCCTCCACCTCACTCTTGACCACCAGTATCTCCTGGTAATGAGCCTATATCCTTCTATGACACCATCGTTTTTGTGCCCAGCACCCAGGAGATACCTGTAGATTGCCTGGCTCTGGTGGTTAGCCGGGCTGACACTTGCAGATTCCACACGAGTGGGACAAAGGGAGAAACAGTTTGTTGAGGTTTTTATAGCAGGGAAAGATTTGCTCTGAGCTAACATCTGTTGCCAATCTTCCTCTTTTTTTTCTCTTACCCAAAGCCCCAGTGCACAGTTGTATATCATAGTGGTAAGTCCTTCTAGTTCTGCTATGTGGGATGCTGCCACAGCATGGTAACTGACAGACAGGTGGTGTGGTGCCACACCTGAGAACCAAGCCCTGGTCACCAAAGTGGTGAGAGCACCAAACCTTAACCACTAGGCCATCAGGACTGGCTGGCAAAAGAGTTTTTCACAAACCACCACCCCAAAGGCGCAGGAGAGAGGCAGATGCCCATCTTTTGATGAGAGGCATGTTAGATTGATCTTTATGGCTGTGGCCTGAGAGACGGATTTCTAATTATACACACATCTAAGGAACTACTGTAATCTTGTCCAGAGACCTTAGAGTGTAGGAACTGTCTTCATGCTCTTCCTTTTCCAGGCTCCAGAACACTGGTAACCCCCAGACTGGAGCTGGTACAAGTGCCTGGTAGCCAGCTTTTATGTCTATTACACCAGATTTAGTCACAGCCACCCAGGGGATGTTACTCCATCACCTGACTCTGGAGGCCATTGGGGCTTGCTGTCATGGGTCCCATGGGAAGATAGCAAATGAAGAGATAGTTTGTGGCCCTCTACCAACCCCATAGCACAGTGCAGATGCAGACTGAAATATAACCTCAGTTTTTCTGTAAAAAAGCTTATTAGTTTGTCCTGGGTCTTTAAGCTGAAGGACAGTCTTCTGGTTTGCCACACATCGAGGGGCCTAGTAAGTGCTGTCCAGGGACCGAAGCTGGTGGGCACTATCTGAGTGATCTCCCTCTGCATTGCTGAAGCTTACCAGTATCTGTACCCTCCTCTAGTGCCCCAATTTCTAAGGCTGCAGCTCAGGGGATACCTCTAGATCACTGGGCATTGGTGGCCAGGGGGGCTTATGCTCATGGGTCCTACAGGGCTGTAACAAAGGGAGAAAGCATTTTTAACTGGCTACCACCCTCAGGGCACAGTGGAGGCAAGAGAATGAGGAGTCCACTCTTGCTATGAAAGAGGCCTGTTAGCCTATCATTATAGCTGAGGCCTGAAGGGCAGACTTCAAATTAAATACACAAATAGGGGCCTACTGTAATCTCTCCAGAGACTTTGGAGGGTGGGTACTATCACCACACTCTCCCTTTGCTGGGCTCAAGAGCACTGGTATCTCCTGGAAGGGAGCTGGTGCCCTGGTTTTTATGGCTACGGCCCAGGGATAACAATTTGATTGGCTGGCTCTGGTGGCCAGTGGGGCTCATGTTCATGAGTTCAACAGAACAGTAACAAACAAAGCAACAGTTATTAACTGACCATCACCCCACAGCTCAGCTCAGAGGGAGCAGACAGAAATTCCTGTATCCCATTCTACCCCTGAAAGAAGTATATTTGCATACTTTAAAAGTTGCTGCCTGAAGACCTGGTTTACAATCAACCTAATCTAGATGCTTGACTGAGAGTTTTCCCTTTAGGATACTGACAGGTCTTGGCACAACCTCAACTACTGGGATTTAAAAATAA